AARTTGGTTGATAGCTCATTAAAAAGAACTTGTCAAGTAAAAAATTTGAAATTTTAAGTTTAAAAATTAATTTATGAATTTTTGAATAGTTTATAAATTAGTCAATTATAGCTGTATTTTTGTAACGCAGGTTAGAAAATTGAGAACAAATTTTGATGTTGAGGGTCTTGATAGAATAACAATCACTAGAAATAGTACAGAAGAGAGTTTCAAAATTGTAATAGTTTCTAATAGATCTTTAGTAATTCATTCAGTAGTAAAATCCTTTCTAATATTTTTAGAAGGGACAATGATTGGGTTTAGGGAGCTCAACCCTCTTTCCCCCGTATCTTCGGACCTGATTATAAACACACTTATATGTGCAGAGTGCAGATAATAATTAAATACCAAAGGGAAAAATTACAAGATGACTTCCATAAGAACTAAGTACCTACAGTTAAAGTATTAAAAAATGGTATATCATATATAATACCTATAATAGTTAATAATTCTTTAATAATTAAAAATCAGAAGCATATACCTACATGAGGACCCTTGGTAAACATTTTTCTGTTGTGGACATTTTTGCTAAATTGCTAACATTTTAATAAATTGTACGAAAATTCACCTTTTATGTTTATAAATAACCAGAAAATTTATGTCAATACACTATAGTACATAATGCATTGTCCAATGGTAGTCACTAGCCAGTGACTTATAACTATTATACTTAATAATATACGCTTATTGTATAGGTATGATAATATATTACCATAATATCCTATTTTGTTTTTACGTTATATACACTTATATATGCACTTATAACAAAATTGACGAACGACTAATTTTATTATTATTTATAGATATTATTCATTTATTCCTGACTGATACGTGATGAGCACTGTATAATTTTTAGTTCATTTTATCATGAATTTTTATTATATTCATCGAAAGTTAAAATATTGAGACTCGACAGCAAAAATATTATGTCCATTGACAAATGTTTGAGTACAAAACTTACGAATATGTTCTTACATAACATAATTTATTATACCTATGTAAATTTTTTTGTTATAATTAATATATTTACAAAAAGAAAATCGATTAAATTTAACTTTTAAGTATGTACTTATTTAATTATATAATGSCGAACAATACACAATACCTATTTAATAGTATGATAACCTATATTGGTATTGATTATGTCTATTATAATTCTATAAACAATAATATTTCAAATAATTTGTGATTGTTATTAATTTATGATTTTTAATAATTTAATTTATATAATGATAAGAATTGATTCATTCTTAATCTTCTTAACTCTAAGAGAAAGAACCATATTTAATGACACTTAACTCAAGTGCTTATACTGTTAAATAAATGATGGTAAATAAATATAAATTTACAAACATTTAATATTTAAATCATTTTATATATGATGTCAAACATCAATCGTTTTGCATATTTTTAAAATTATTTATATCTTTTATCTATACATAATATGTACCTATATTATTCATATTTAATATTAATTATATTTTTTAACGTTTATTAGTGAAATTTAGTGTACCTACATAAATTTAGGTTAAATGTAAGATGTTATATGTTGATGTAATCAATGAAGCTTTTGATAAGCATTTWAAAAAGTATATAGGTCAAATTGAAAGCAAAGCTGATTATGATATATATTGTAGTGTATGTAATAATTTTATTGGACCTTTTAATGAATAAAAGTTCTTTGTTTTGGTTCATTGTGCAGTTCTCTTGTCAAAATCAATTTTGCGTTCTTAAAGCGGAATTGACCGTTGYTTTCAAAAGTTAACACAAGGTGGGAGTAACCTTCATTAGGTTATGTGTCTCAATAAGTATTTTTAAACTTCATGAATGACATGACCGAAGGTCAGTCTGTTACAGTATATACCTACTAGTTAGTAGCCGTGTAGTATTGGTATTTAGTACACTGACATTGGCAATGGTCGAGTAAGTTAACTCCCCCCACCCGGCCAACACACAAACGGACACACATTCCTACAGCTGACAAATAACAAGCGTCCAATACAATATTTCAACAGCGACCGCGATTGATCGGAAAATTATATAAATATTATTCAACGAAGCCAAATGTATGCGAAAGTTTTATTGGGCCAGTTAAAAAAATCAACATGTTATTGACCCTTAACCGTTGTGGTGAAACGAGGCCAATAATAGGAACATATAGATACACACTCGTGTGGGTAAATTATTTATACACTTATAAATAAGACATATTCTTTGGACACACCACTATTTAGGTGAGATATAAAACATGTGTTTGGATGAAACAAAACGAATGTAATGAAATTCTTACCAACCATGGTTACCGCAGCGTAATGTCAATACATCATACACTTGTCTAAATAGCGCATGCGGAAGAGACGAAAAAACATTATATATTATTTAGATACCTGAAATAAAATAACAAACTTTTTTGGGGGGAAGGGGAAGGGAGAGGGTAGTTCATGCAAGTTCGAATTACTGTATAACGTGGCCTTCATAAGGTCATTGGTCTATTTAGTATATGATGGATAATTATTTGTAGACGTTTAATACAATTAATGATTATAGTAGAATATATTATTCAAATCACCTGTGACAGCTTCTTCTTCTCCGGCCAATGCTTCGTGGTCGTCTTCTTTGGGTTTCTTCTTTATGCTCATTCTTGCTTAGTATTCGTGCAACGTCACACTGAAATTAATAAACGGCTTAAAAATTGTATTAACTGCAGTCTAACGGGTGTATATAATTATATAAATTATTTTTAGTAATAAGGACACATTCAGTGATATTCTATAAAATTTAACGATATCCTATAACTAAAATAATTTACTAATAAGTAATAGGCAAAAAATTTCAAAATAATATATATTGTGTGGCAGATGAATAGCAGTGATGTGCATGAACGYGTGTGAAGCATTTATCAGTGAAAATACAATTACGCAAAAATTTTCAATAAACCAAAATACCGTAGTTGTTGATTTTAGTATGCGTTGAGATTATTTTAAGCTTTATTTTAAAAAAGACTACTGACTGTATATAGTTAGAATTTTTTTATCGACCGAATGACGTTTTGTTTCTGCAGTGACAGTGAAGAACGATTGTCAGATATGTTAAACGAACACTGTGCACATCATACACATATTATGACACAATTTATTCTGGTTTAAATGATACCTACAAAACTGATTTAAGTAAAAACAAAAAATGTTTATTTAGTAATTTAACTTTCGATATAGATTTCAAACGAATGACACGTTTACTGGTTATGTTGCATAAGCCATTTAATAATAACCTATATAATATTTTTTTCTCGACAAATAGGTAGATATATTTAAATAATTTTTAATTACCTCGATAAATTATCATTTGACACATATTTGGCTTTACACCAAAACATTTCTAAGAAGAGAAATATTTGTAATAATTTAATAATATATGGGTCAATATGATCAGGTTTTATCTGAAGACTTTCTTAAAAAAAAAAAAAAATAATCAAATGGCTATTAGATTGATTATCACTGAATATTGGCAAACAAAATTAGAATTAAATAGTATACAAATAATTAAAAACAAAAATGAACAACTTTCATCTTAGATCCAACACTAAATGTTGAGTATTTAAACATTCAAAACACAATAAATATAATATATTTTTATTTGAATCATCTATTTAATAATTATTTATAATTCATTGGCGTATGTAAAATATTCAGATTAGTAATTTATGTAAAAGTCAAGAAGACAATATTATTAAAGAATATTTATTTTGTGTTTGCAGCAARATAAAAAATTAAACTCAATAAAACCTTATAATAACGCAATATCTTATATGGTTTTTCTTAATGATATAATATAATAARATTTAAATACAATTTCTTTTTCATTTAATAATAAAATTCTCATTTAAAAGACGTTGAACAAATCTTATATCACGTTTAAAACGTGTGCAAAGAAGAGASAACAAAATAATTTACATTAACTAAATAAACCGTTAAATTGTTAAAATAATATATTTAAGTTTTTTTAAATTTATCAAGACTTGTATGATGTGGTTAGGTATACAAAGCTGTTTATTACACCAAAATGTAATAATTGCCAAGTGGTTGATATTGTATTACTCTCTTGACGTCAACGGTCTACCAACTGTATTTTTGATATTCGAGGTAATAGAGTTTCCATAAAAGCATTACATCGCATACTTACATTACTTATATATTATTATATACCCGACTATGTGAAAAATGATAAAATTATGGCAAACCCCGATTACAGAACATCACAATGGTCGTTCATAAACGAATAAAACAAGCTCATTCCAGTATAATATACACGTGTGATAAATGCTTTATGTTACACAGGCTATACAGATCTTCAGGAAAAAAAATGTTTATATAATCAATATTCTAAAAAAAGAGAGTATGATAGTTTATTATGGTGTAAGGTTGTAACCCACAAGCGGCAATGATAGCCTCGTGGTAGACAGATGTGTAAACGCGTTGTCATTTGTTATTTTAGGTGTTATGYCCATCAATACTACTTACGGCGATTGTGCAAAAACACATTAGAGGAATGGCTGATTTGTGACCGAGATAAAATCGTATTGAATATTTTTAAACGCGCATCACTTACGCATGTRACACAAGGGAAGAAGGTGAAAACAAATGTCCACCGTGAGACTTTATAGAGCTCTCTGAATCATACGAYGGTATAGATACATAACATAATATTACCTACATTGTTATTCATTTTTTTTTACATTCGATGGTTTAATATTATAACGTTTAATACTTACACAACACAATACACTTATGGTATAATATTGAGTTTCCTAGTCGTACGGAACGCGTATAATGATGCATCCATGGTGTATAGCATACACACTATGTATAAAAACATTGTTTGTCTATAGTTCATACTTCGTAATAAATAATTYGTTTGAGCGCACTTAACAATGAAAGAAATAATTTTTAATTCCAATTCGAGTTTTTTTTTTTATTGGTGTACAAGTAATAACATCTGACATACGAAATATTGAATATATCAGTTCACGAGTCATCAGGTTCATCGGTACGCAGTTAAACATGACGTCTATGAATATTATTTACAAAAAGGTCATTGGAATATTTTAAATTCTAGTATAATAATATAAGTACTTAAAAACGCGAACATCTCGTAAACGTAAACTACCTATATTTTATTGTTATAATAGGTTATGTCTAACAATAAATAATAATATAACATGTAACAAATAACAACAAAACGCAATGGTGTCAGAAAATTCCGTTTATACAAAAACCCGGTGACCGGGTATATACGGTAGTGCTCAACATAAATTTGTGAGCCAAATATTTTAACCTAACCTAATATTGGGGAAACTTTACAAGCCCCCGTAATCRCCGATACCAAACCAAACCGAATCCAAACCCAAATAAATAAATAATTTCGTGAGCGAGCTAGTCCATGAGTAAGACAGATTTACAATTTCATCCTAAATACACACTTCACTACATCAGTGTTAAACTCATACGTATATAGATGCGCATATATTGTGCACGGTGTGAAAGACTGCATGCATAGACATATTAGACATATTATTGCATGTATTATAAGAACCTACGACAAGTAATTTTAACGAACGACTTGCGCACACCTAAACGACCTTTCGAGAATTATAAACAAGCGAATAAATATCGCTATAAAATCAGAAACTAAAGCGGTCGGTTTCACTGATATAATCTAATATTACGCGAGTATTGAGAAGCATATAATATTTTAGCAGTCTCGTTGAATCTATATAAGGCTCAGTTAGGTTAAGCTGCTACTTAAAAAGTTAAACCATCCCGTTACACACAAATACCTACGAGTACACGATATAATATATTATGTGGTGTCTATATATTATTTAGTACTATACGCACTTAAATGATATATACCATATACACAAACGTTATGTTTGTATTAACATCGTGTTTATTATCCCTTTGAAAACGAACACAGACCGTGCACAGTAATATTTCGAATGTAATAGGAGTAAAGTCATTACCGTTTGACGAGAGTTTGTGTTATATTAAACTCGTATAAATGATTATAATGTCATGATGGGGATTGTAGGGACTATAGGTACATATAACAGTTTAACACGGATGATTCCGTCATGAAAATTAACGCAATATTATGGCTTGTAAGTATTGTATTCGGATAATAATTATMTAATTTATATGGCGAAAGTTAAATTTAGAACAGGAGTAAGATGAAGAAATACCTTGTGCGGGCCAGTATTTATTGATCGTTTTATTTTTAGATTGTATCTCACAACAAGAAGCTGACCTTTGTACTTACTTTTTGGAAAAGATGTCCACACATCACCTCTGTGCGACTAATCACACTGCCTCTGTGTAAGCTCTTGTGGCTTATGTAAGCCGAACACGGGGTACAGGTCGGGCGGCCCGACCAATTTTTTGAGGTGGTGGGTGGTAACAGTAGACCCGGTGGATCGTGGATGATCAGTAAAAATGATGGGGTATTTACTTGTAATATAATATGCAACCCATTTTAGCATAAATAAACGTTAAACGTGTATAGTAGGTAATTAGTATTGATATAATGCTTTAATACTTTATAGAATAGTTACTTATAGAGACATAGGTTAAGTGATTGACGATTGTAATATACATTATATTATTATTATGTTATAATATAAAAATATTATCTTATTGTGCTAAAATTATTTATTTACTATTGCTGTTTGGAACGATATCTATGTCTTATTTGTAATTATATGGAGGGGGCGTGGGGGGCTTTGCCCCCACGGGTCTGTTTGAAGTTTTTTAGGGGTAGGTAGTGAGTTACATTATTTTACCTAGTCTGCCCGACTGTTTTTAAACTACTTCGGCGCCACTGGCTTACATTGCTTATACGAAACAGTTGGTCGATCACGGTTTAAAGGCAGTATAGGGATAMTAATATCGGTAATTACGGCGATCGTGGTCCGGTTCACATGACTATCACCACGATAGACATCAAATGAAATATTAATCGATAATTGGAGCAAATTCTAATCACAATATCTTGGAGTATAGCGTTAACACTCCTAACTCCTAAAACGGTTAGTAGCTGATAGTAGTGTATTCTAAGAGCAAATCTTCGGTTTGCAAAATGTTCATTGAACATCTATATAATGACTCATGACGTAAATGTAAGAGAATAAAACTTATTTTTATTTTGGTAGGTATGTTAAGACCCAGATGATTCCCAATGCTTGATTACCTTTTTTCAGGTACCTATTTGGTGGATTCTAGAGGTCGTGTACCCGATAATTAACAAAATTTGCTGTACCATATGTACTATTGTATAAACTATATAATATATATAACATTATATATGTGTAATGAATATAAGAAAATATAGTGATTACTGCTCGTAAAGAAATCTAGCCGTAAGTTGAAGGACTCTGTTCTAAGAGAACAGGTTGTTGATGCTAAGATGACTGGTACGCGCATGCACTGTCGATAAGGACGACACAGTTAGATTAGGTTAGTCCTTAGTAGGTACATTACCTACTACCTGTCTGGACTGTTAATATAACAAGCTTTTTWAAAAAAAATCAACGCTTTAAATTTTCAAACGTTTTAAAAAAAAAATCATTATGTGTGATACGTTTCGAYCATTGGTCGGATCAAGAGCATTGACACTCTAGGATTATTTTCTATAGTACCTAACCATAGTTGCTAAATTTAAGCGTAATAATTGTCCTCTAACAAAACAACAGCAGTGAMACTGCTGGTAGGTACTTACATATTAATATTATAGCAAAATATAACACACTCACGTCGAATGTCTTGGTCGAGCCGGTATATCCACGAACGTGGCTCGATCTCCGTCGTCCGTCTTGGTCGTGCTTTAGCGACTCGTCACCGCTTCGGCCATGCCCGTCGATGTCGCAGTTGTCTGGTCGGCGTCCCGTAGGTGGAGGTGCGTCAACGGCGGGACGTTGAATTATGATGCAATAACGCGGTCCGTCGCGACCGCAGTGGCTGTGGTAGTGGTCGCGATCGTGGTGATGGTCGTCGTCGTCGTCGCCGCCGGATGCCGGTGCCAGTGCAATCGTCCTGGTCGTCGTGCCGCCGATAATCCGCGACCGGGATCGCATCGCACGCGCCGTCCGCGTTACTCAAACAACACGCGGCCGCACACTGCAACTTAAGACGCGCGCGGACACGGGACCGCGCGACCTGTCTCACGACGCACCGCTGTGGACGTGGACTCGGGACGTTGTGGGGCAGCCGCCGCTACCAGTGCTTCCTGCCAGTGTGCGCTGGTGCTCGCCCGTGCGCGTGCGAGTGACCGCGTGCTAGACAACTTTACTGAGCACGCCCTCCTCGTCGGGGCCGCGGCGGGGAGGGCACCGGCTGCCGATCGATATTAGACGCTATACGCGCCGCCCCGTGCGTGTGTGTGGGCCACCACGATGAATATAATACAGTCATGTGTCCATGTCACTAACCGATATTGTGTAT